CGCGCCGCCTCCCGGGCCGCCTGCCCGCACTTCGGGTGAGCGCGCCGCACCTTAAAGGGCCCGCAGCGGGGTCGCCCCCCTCCCCCAGCGGGGGTCCCAGGGAGGGGGCTTCTCCGGATCTCCGCCGCCCGCCCGGGTGGATCCGGAGACGCGCTTTCCCACCCCGCGAGCGCACTCCCTCGGAGCTTGCCAGAGGATGAAGGGAGGGGAAAAAAAAATCTGGGATGGGGGTGGTGGGAGGATTAAAATAGTCTGCACAGTTTAAAATGAGACAAAGGTGGCACGGTTCATGAATCAGGACTTGGGGAGGGAAGCTGGCGCAGTGTGGCGGGGAGTGGGAAGGTGTGTGTGTGTGTGTGTGTGTGTGTGTGTGCGTGTGCGCGCGAGCGTGTGTTGCTGCAACGGAATTTTAAAAGGGCAGAAGCTGAACCTTCCCTTCCCGACTTCACTCCTCAGCCCACTGTGCTAAGATGAGGAGTTTTCTGGTTTGCTTTCTTTTTTTTTTTTTTTCCTTCTTTGTTAAGTCCCCTGTGTTTTTGTGTCGACCACGCAACTCTGGCCTCGGGGCCGCGAGCGAGTGACACACGCCCAGGCAGCCTGGAGACCCCTGGCCGCAGGACTCTGACTGCAGATGCAGCCCCACCGGAGACCCACGTGTCCTAAGGAGTTTTGAAGGTCACATTAGACCTGCTAAATAGCAGGAGTTGGCCATGCGCCTCCCGTGTGACACAGAGCTGTTTCCAAGGGAGGCAACTCATCTCTGAAACCAAGACCCTTTCTTTTCCTCCTGCAGATTACCTATGGAGCTCCATTTGAGATCTACTTAAAAGGAAGGGATCGTGGAAATGAGGAATTTAAAGAAACAGGAAAGGGGAAGAGAATAATATGTAAATTTACGAAGCAGACTCCGTTTTACTATCGTTACTGCAGGAGAAAGTCCTCATTAGAATATACCTTACATTCCAATGTATATATTAATATATACATTGGCACTGGAGTGTCTGATTGTTTATCCGTTTATCTGTGGGACGAGCTGCCATGTTCAACAATCGCGTTGCCTTATCACAATCCTGCTTGTATTTTATTGTCCACCTTACACTTCCTTACAATTCTACCCCTTTCACCTAATCCAGACTTTTTGCAAGTCTCAAAACTAGTCTCCTGGCCTCTACGTTCCCTAGTGTCCATGTGTATGTATATATACACACATGTCACACAATTCATTCCTACACACTACAGGCCCAGCCATTTTCCTAACACCTCTTCCATCCAAATAACTCTTCACTAAGATACAGTCCAATTCCATATTCCAATGCCTGCTGGCATTTCTGGACATCTACAGCCTTGGGTTTCCAGATAGATCTTTCTGTAGAAACAGTCCAGTGTGGAAGCAGTTATTTCTGTACACTGCTGCTACCAAAACATATCAAACACCACCTCACTTCAGTACCTCTTGCTTTCCTTTGTCTTTTTGGAATACACCCTTTACCCACCCAACACATCACGCTGGATCCTAGCTTCTCCAAATGTACCTGAACTCTCCACTGAATCTTCAAGACCACTGCAACCCTGCATAGATCTACTGCTTCTGAAAAACTAGAGCATTTATTCTCTGGGCACTTGGCATAGACTGATTTGGTTTTATTATTTCTGTGTGTGTGTGTGTGTGTGTGTGTGTAAATCTAATTTCCAAAATGATTGTTAGTTCTTTGCCTCTTAAAACGCCCATATCTTTCACATAGTAGATAACCCATAAAGTTTATGGGGTAAAGATTTGTCTAATAATACAGAACTTTGTGCTTTAGTTACCATTAACCCAATCCATTTTTAGTTGTGAGTCATTTTCATAGTTGGCACCTAATCAATATACATAGAATGAATTATGATGTGGGCACTGGCACTTGAATTTTCTGCATTTCTGCTGCCCATAGTCTGGCTGAGTTATCATAACAGATTCCATAGCAGGGCACTAGCAAGAGGAACTCTGTTTACCTGCCTCACAGCCCAACAAGTAAAAACGATCAATATGAGAACTCGTGACTATTTAAATCTTCGGACATGGTCCTAAGTGTACATAGCAATGGAAAACACTTGTTCAAAAAGAATAGTGTGAGAGTCTGTTGTATTTGAGCCAAGGCCTGTCCCCTCCCTCCTTGTTTCCAGTTCAGTGAAGAAAGCCCACCTCACACAGGTGCAGCCAAAGACTCTAGGAGACCTGGGAGGAGCAGGACATCAGAATTCATCATCCTGTCCCCAAATACCTGTTGCTAAGACTTAAGTTGTCAGCAAGTGTGGAAGAGAGGAGCGGAAACTACCTTCATTCCAGCCCCACACATGTAACAGAGGATTGCCTCAATACCACAGAGAATACTGAGGCCCTGAGGGACCTAGCTCCTGGCTCATAGAGTGGCAATCAGGGGACATGAGATTCCAGTGTGGAAGGGGCCTATCTACCAAGAACTCAGCTGCTAAAATGGTAATGTCACCATTGTGAACCTACCCTAAGCCCAAGTGAGAATGAAGTTGGGCGCTTCATATTATATATTTAAAAAAACTCAAAATGGAACCAAAATCTAAATGAGACTTATAGATAAAAATTGTTAGAAGAGATGAGAAGGGCAAGTCATGACCTTAGACTTGAAAGTAGATTCTTAGACTTGATACCAAAAGCACAAACAATAATCACAAAAAAGTAAGTTAGATTTCATCAGAATTTAAAACTTTGAGTTTATAAGAGTACCACCAAAAATATGAACAGACAACCTACAGACGAGGTGAAAAAAATTTAATAAGCAAAGGATTCAGATGGATATTTCTCCTAAGAAGCTATATCAATGGACCAGTATGTGGAAAAAAAAAAAGCCCAACATCATAGTCATCAGAAAAAAAAATACAAAACAACACTACAACAAGCTATTTAAGACAGTTTGATTGTTCCTTCTAAAACTCCTGTTGGAAATGAATTGCTATTTTAACAGTATTACAACATGGAATTTTAAAGAGGTAATTAGTCTATAAGGGCTACATTCTCATTGTGGTGATTGGTACCACTACAGATGGGTGACACTTAGCTCCCTTTTGCTCTCTCTGAGCACATCTGCCTTCTGCCATGTGATGACACAGCAGGAAGACACTTATCTGAGGTTGGCACCATCATCTTGAACTTTCCCTTCTAGACCTATGAGAAAATTTGCTCATTATAAATCATTCAGCATAATATATTCTGTTATAGTATCATAAGGCAAACTGAGACCACTACCACTTTGCATGAACTGAAAGAAATGTAAGTGGCAATAATAAGTGTGGGCAATGATGTGGAGAACTTAAAATCATATAACACACTGCTAAGGGGAATATAGAACAATAACTCTGCTTTGAGTCTGGTAGTTACTCAAATGGTTAAATATAGAGTTATCATATGATTCAGCAATTCCACCTCTCAGTATGTATCTAAGATAAAAGAATGTATACATCCAAAACTGTGCAAGAATGTTCATTGCAGCATAAGTTAAGAGTAGCCAAAAAGGAGAAACAATCCAAATGTCCACCAACTGATAAATAACATCTGGTATATCCACAGAATAGAATATTATTCATTCATAAAAAAGAAATACAGTGATATATGTTACAATGTGAATGAGCCTTTAAAAATAAAGTTAAATTTTGAAAGAAGTCACTCATAAAAGGATATAGATTTTGTATGATTTTTTTGTCTGAAATGTCCAGAATAGGCACATGTACAGAGGAAGAAAATGGGTTAAGTGCTGCTTACGTCAGGAAAGCTCAGGAAATATCTCAGGGATAACTAAAGGGTATAAAGACTTCTTGACGTAAACGCTCTGAAAACTGAAAGTAGTGATGGCTTACTACCTGTACAGATACTAAAAACAACATTGGGTACAGTGGTTATGTCTGCTGACCTAGTTACTAGGAAAGCTTAGGTTCCATTGGGCCTATGAGTTCAGGACAACACAGCAAGATCTTGTCTTAAAATAAAGTAAAATGTTAAAACATTGAATTGTAGCTTGGTGCCAGTGGCTAAGAACTATAATCCTAGCTCGAAGGCTGAGTGAGGTCTGAGGGTCAAAGTTTAAAGCCAGCCAAGACAGGAAAATCCACAGGACTCTTCTCTCCAGCTAACCAGCAAAAAAGACAGAAGTAGACAGTGTGGCTCAAATGGTAGTATACCAACTAAAAAGGTCTGTGAGAGTACAAGGTCCTGAGTTTAAGACCAAGTACTGGCACCAAACAAACAGACAAAAACAAACAAACAAACCTAGGCTTTAAAATCTAATCTAATGTGGTTTCTTAGAACTTGCTTCCCTTCCTTTTGTTTCTCCCTTCTGTTAATTCCCAGCACCACCGTGTAGTACATACCTTTGATATATAATATGATGGTCTTCTTCCTCAAAGTCCATAACCCAAGTTGAATAGTGAGGAAAGCTACAGACAAATCTCAATAGATGACTGATGGGCTTCAGAACTCTAAAAGTCCTCAAGAAGGAAAGTCTGAAAATGTGAGAGTAGTAGAAGCCTAAGGAGACAGAATGATTAAGTGTAATATGTGTCTTGGATGGGAATCTGGAATAGGAAAACACTGGAAATGTGAATAAACTAGAAACTTAGTTAATAACACGTGTCAATAAGAAGTAAGTATGCAAAATGTACCATATTAAGGTAAGCTGTTCATAGTACAGGACATTTGGTGCGGATTCTCTGTATTGCCATCACAATTTTTGAGGGAGATGGGAGTGGTCCTGGGGTTTGAAGTAAAGGCCTTATGCTTGTGAGGTAAGTGTTGTACTATGTGAATGATATTCAGTACTTTTTGCTTTAATTTCCTTTGTTTTTGCCCAGGGTTAGCCCCAAACCTTGAACCTTAGAATATCTAAA